AGCAGACTGCTTGAGGGTTTAGGCCAGGACAAGCAACAGGGAATGGAGGGTTCATACCTGCATGACGGCCCTGTGCTCATAGGCCGCCACACATGCTGCGGTCTCGAAGTAGGCGCTCTCCGGCAGGCGCATGTGATTCAGGCGCGTGCGGTCGCGAATGAGGGACAGGCGCCTGCCCATACACATCAGTTCAGCAGTGGCAAAAGGGCAGAAACATGTCAGTAATAGGACTGAACATATGGTTTGAGTAAATGTGACAAAGAGCAACGAATCCAATCCCCAAAACACTGACCTGTCCATCTGCTTCACACGCCGCTTCTTCATCTTGCGCACGACAGCCACAATGTGGCTCATGATGCCCAGGTCCGCCTGGTGCATGATGTCAGGCATCACCACGAGGTAGGGATTGCCCCACGCGGTCCCTGGGACATCCCACTTCCAGAGCACGCACTGGAAATGGGGATGTGGTAGGGAATGGAGGAGAGATGTACGTGAGAGTGGATAGCTAACCTAAACCACAAGTGGGGTGAGTTCAATGGGGCAAAGCACATCTGGCAATTCATGACGGGCGGGCGAGAGCATAGACTACTCATGGGCCGGGGAAACAGGTCACTCATCTCAACAGGGTAGGTACAGTAGGCCTTACACGGGTCAGCCTGGCTAGTTGTTGTCCCAGCCGCCTCGTTAACGATCCATTGTTGCTGTTCAGGCGTGCGCGGCGTGTTTCGTGCCTTGACAGCACTCAGATGCTCCTGTTGTAGCACGGGGGTGAGGGATGGGATAGAAAAGGTAAGGGTGGTAGCTATGTGGGTTCTATCAGGCGACCCACAAACGAGAATGTATTTGAACGCGTGCAGATGGCATGTGACCTCACCTTTGCAGCATAGCAGATGCTGCACGGCATCCGCGATCCATGCAAGAGTGTGCAACTGATCTTGCCGCTCTAGGGGTAGTCGCACACCCAGGCGTACAGCAGGGGCCGTACGGTTTGCCAATCACCGAAAGGGTCCCTAAGACGGAACCTGCTGCAAGGAACAGGTAGAGGGGCAACAGGAATTCGGGTTACGGCTTTTAGGGAGGAACGACGAGGGGCAAAGGGCCATGCTACATACAGAGAGGGTTTGCATACCATGCAGGTGGTGAGATGATGTCTTAGCAAGATGAAACCGAGTACGGACCTGGCGATGCCATCAAGAAGCGGCTGCAGCACGGTGATGACGCAACGCTGGAAGAGCATCACCTTCTCCACGGCAGACATTGCAGATGGGGGGATAGGAAGGAGGGCAAGTAGTGTGTGCCCGGCTTTCCCCCATCGCTTGGCCTGGGAGATGTTGGCCAGCGTCATCATGAGCGGCCACGCCTTCTTCCGGCCGTTGATGCTCATGTGCGTCACATCTGAATATAAGATGATCCCCCCCACAACTTCGGACCAACCGAAGTGTTCCTACAGTGCACGACAAAGCGGCAACGGACACACGGTTTAGGGCTCAAGATGCTCTTGACAGATCAGTGCAGCGATGGAGGCATGAGGAAGGATTGGGTTTGGGGTGGCAACGTGGTCTTTCCTTACCTGAGCATCGTTCCACCACGTTCCTGTTTCAGGCGTGGTATAGCGACGGCTGCCTGCGTCTGGGTCCTCATCAACACGCGCCTTGAGCTTGAAGCCGGGCGCGTTGTTGGGATGTCCAAACATTTCAGCGAATGCGTGGTGTACGGTGGCGAAGGCAGGTGAGAGGAGAGGCATGGTTAGTGGCGGTGAAGGTGGGTGTACGGCTAATACAAGGATAACTACGTACATGCAAACCCTGTGTGCCTCATCATCATTTCAGGGCCTTGAATGCAAAGTCGGCTTACCTGGGCTGAGTTCTGAAAGAGCAAGCGCTGTGGTGGATGACCGTCAATCTCAAAGGTCGCCACCGACCATCTGCGATTGAGCCCTGCCAAACGCTCCATCTCGAACCACTCCATATCCTTACAGTTCCGGAGCTCCGAGATCACAAGAGGCGCAAGGCCGGGCTGTACGACTAGCTGAAGCAAGCCGTTGACGTCAACCTCGGCCATTCCCATTCCGCCATTCACGCACCGAACGAAATACAGCAGCTTCAACGCGAGCGGATTGAGGGGCGTGGCATTGCTCTGTCCGGAGATGATTGTTGGCGGTGCGGCATGACTCCTTTCGGGCCGGCTCTCAGGATGGTCACTCGTGTCAGCCGCAGGAGCTCCTGGTTGTGGTTGATGTTCATCTTCAGGAGGCCCCTCGTTCACGTCGTTGGGAGTTTCATCGACGTGAGCTTTAGGCACGCGTGGAGGACCGCTCACATTGACGGCGTTGGATGCGTTAGACGCTGTAGGTGAACCGGGAGCGGCTGGAGCGTCCGATAGAATGTCGTGGACGAATAGCAGAGCGTGAAGACCGGCGGTCGGTGCAGATCGCGTCGGCCTTGCCATGGCGGTTAGTCCTTGGCAAGGGGTCCGCCGTGACTTATGACCGCCATAAACTTAGGCGCTGGGGAACCATCTGCTGCAAAACTCACAGACGACGCCTGGTAAAGAGCCCATGTGTTACGGATCCGTTGTAGAGTCGAGAAATCGCCTATGAAGCTACTAGCCATGATGAAGCTTGTGAACGCATTAAGTACTGCGTTCAAGAAGCCTGTGACAGCTACACGATCATCGCCAATGCGCGCACTGTGGTGGGCGGCTTGTATCACTGCACGACTGGCACTTGACATTGGTGCTAATGTTTATGACTGGCTAACGATATCGAGCCGCATGGTCGTTACCAGGCACGATACAGACCGCCCACCTCACGGGCCGTCTTCCCTACAAGGCGTGTCGCCCCCGTTTAGAGTGACCACGACGTGAGCAGAGGAGAATGCGGAGGATCTTAAGTCTCACGGTCGTGTGTGTGCGTCGCGAGCACGGTGAGAAAGACGTGCCTATTGAATCAAGAACTTGTGTTTAGGAACCGTGCGTGAGAGTCGAGGGGGATGAGGAAGAGCGGGAAGAGATCCGTTTGGATCTGTGATTGTGTCGCGAATCGATATAGGGGGGAAATCAGAATCACGTAGGTGAGCTCAAGAGGCTTCAAACAAACATGGAAATGCAAATGTACAATTACAACTTAACAAGACACTCAAGTCATTCATAACTAGTAAACATTCATATCCTTAGGACTGATGTTGAACAACCCTTACTTGATAACGATACGGGAAGTACCCAATAACTCCATGCCCTAACGCATGTTTGTTGCGTGGAGCGAATACCTATAGCGTGTCTTCTCTCGAGGTGTAGTGTACCTCTACGCACCGTGCTGAATGAATATGCAAGAATGGATGACAATGTCGTACAATAACACAACGGTTTCAATGTCCATGCAATGTTGGATGACAATGCAACACCATACCACAACGGATTCACCATGTTGCGCAACCCGCAGGCCTGAACGCTGCATCGTCGCACAGTCTAACCATGGCTGTCGATAATGCATCTACGCTTGTGCGTCGGGCCTGTGCTTCATACAACTCCTTCTAAGCACCTTGTTTAATGTCTGTGCAAGAATGGATACCAATGCATCACCATACCACAACGGATTCACCATGTCGCGCAACCCGCAGGCCTGAACGCTGCATCGTCGCACAGTCTAACCATGGCTGTCGATAACGCATCTACGCTTGTGCGTTGGGCCTGTGCTTCATACAACTCCTTCTAAGCACCTTGTTTAATGTCTTTGCAAGAATGGATGCCAATGCAACACCATACCACAACGGATTCACCATGTCGCGCAACCCGCAGGCCTGAACGCTGCATCGTCGCACAGTCTAACCATGGCTGTCGATAACGCATCTACGCTTGTGCATTGGGCCTGTGCTTCATACAACTCCTTCTAAGCACCTTGTTTAATGTCTGTGCAAGAATGGATGCCAATCCAACACCATACCACAACGGATTCACGTTTGTTACTATTGATAATCATGTTAGAATGTCGTCCGCTGGCCCTAAACCATTGTGGCAAAGCCTAAAAGTGCACAGTACATCTGTCACAAGTAATAATTCTGGATGGTTGTTGTGTGTGTGACGTAAGAATCACCGATTAACTTACCCCAACCCCGTGGTAAACAATTTGCAACTTAGAGTTTGATGAAATGCATTGTTGTATGTTTGAATAAAATTAAGTGATTTATGCGTTGGCAACCGTGATTGGCTGACGCATCTCAAACGATTCCCCCCGCAACACAGTCATCAGCCAAGAGGTACTTCAGCCATTGAGCGGCTGAGATCGAGCGGTAGGTGGGTTTATGCTAGGATGGCTACACGTACACCGTCCAATATAGCCTGATAGGGTTACATTACTCTCTCTAGTCTCGCAACCCACCCCAACCACCCTCGTGTCCCACCCACCTGCTTCCGTCACTCCCTGGACCAACACTTTGACGCTGCTTGTTGCCTTGACACACTTTAGCGCGAAGCATAGTGGCTACTATGACAGATTTAGTTGAAGCGGCGGTTTTCGAAACCCCTTACAGTGATAGACCGTCGATAATCCCATTGTGGGATTCAGTTGCAGAACCCTTTCGAAACCGGCTCAACCCTTCCGCGTGATTTGCAACTTTGCTCCTCCTACAATTACCATGACACGTGCAACACGTAACCAAGCAATGGAGGAGGAACAGGCCGGCCGCCGCGCGACTAGGAGGACGTCTAAACAAATCGATAGGGAGTGTGGTGGCGGCGCTAAAAAAACTAATGCGTCCGTCGCTCGTGGCATTGGGAAGAAGAAAGCGGCCGCAAAAAAGGTCGCGCGCGGTCAACAGGAGGCCGGCAAGAAAGCGGAAGACTAGGGCCCTAAACCAACGCCACGCAAGCGTGTTTCTACAGTGAACAAAGATGCGGATGTTGCCTCTGCTGGAACCGAGCCCGGTCCGAGTAAAGACGGCACCACTGGCGGCAACGAAGATCCGGGGCGAGGGAGCGCGAGTCTTGCACTCCCGTCGGCGGAGATGGAGGGATCGGCGACGGAGGGAAATCACGGAGGCGATCCCCGCTCCGAGCATGCCGCAACCAAGGAGTCCAAGGCGGCGGCAACGCAACACCATCTGACGCTGCTCCAGCCGACCGTGGTCGAATTTTCTGCAGCCGTGCTGGATAAGGACAAGGTGGGGGAGCACGAGTCAGTGGGGCTGGTCGGTGGCTCTCCACCTTCTGGTGGACGGGGGAGGCGTGGGCAGAGGAAGAGCGACGGGGAGGACGATTATGACACCGCCGTGCCCGGGGACCTCATTACGCGGGCGAAGAGGTGGCAGACGTCAGGTAGTGCTGACGACGCCGGAGGCGCGGCAGTTGGGACACCGCGAGGCGCCAAGGAAGCTAGTGGCAAGGCGGGCGGTCAAGCATTGCGCCAGAAGGGCCGACCCGCAGCAAGAAAAGCATCCGGCGGAAGGAGAGGCAAGAAAGCAGCGACGGGAACAAAGCCGAAACGGGGCGATGAAGACCCCGGTGATGCGGAGGAGGAAGAGGATGAGGAGGAGGATGCGGAGGGAGAGGAGGATGAAGAGGAAGCGGAGGAGGATGACGCGGATGTTGGGGAGGATGAAAAAGATGAGAATGATGGCGGGGAGGACGAAGAGGAGGAGGAGGATGAGGAGGAGGAGGAGGAGGAGGAGGAGGAGGAGGAGGAGGAGGAGGAGGAGGAGGAGGAGGAGGAGGAGGAGGCAGAGGAGGAGGAGGAGGAGGAGGAGGCAGAGGAGGAGGAGGAGGAGGAGGAGCAGGGTGACGACGAGGAGGAGGATGTGGAGGAGGAGGAGGTGGAGGAGGAGGAGGAGGAGGAGGAGGAGGAGGAGGAGGAGGAGGAGGAGGAGGAGGAGGAGGATGTGGCGCCAGTGAAGGGACGGGGCGGGCGTGGCAGACGGGTGAGTGGTACAGGGAAGGAGGGGGGCCGGACTCGCCCTTCCCGAAAACGCGGGGCAGTTGACGCTGCGCGGGCGAAGCATCGGGCAAACCGAAGGCGCGTAAGGTGAAGGTCAAAAGTTAAGGGGTTGGTAAAAAGCAAGGGAGCCAGGGAGCAAAAGGGGATGGAGGAGGAAAGGGTGACCGCGCCAAAGGGGTTCCAGTGGGTACCAGCAAGAACGAACCTGCCGGTAAACGTCGCAGCGTCCGCCAAAGCACCCCGCGGAAAGGTGGCAACGAGAAGGCACAGGCTGCCCCAAAACCGAAGGGACAGCAGAAAGGTGAGCATTGTGTCCAATAAAACTGGCGTGACGTGTTGAACCATCTGCTAAACCGTGCCAAAAAACACCCTTTTTTCACATTGTTTCTCCCGTGCAGGGAAGGAGAAGGTCGACGAATCTGCCAAGCAAGGTAAGCCCTCTTGTCTCAAACCAGTACAACCCTGAACCCGATATAGATTCAAACCTTTCTGAATATGCATGCATGTCTGGCCCCGCCTTGAAACCGATCGACTCTATTTTTTTTTTCCGGCTCCCTCTACATCTCAGCCCCTCGCGTTACAGGCATTGGGCCGCCCGTAAGCGTGCAACGAATGCATCTAACGAAGGCTGCCGGAAGAGCGAGTGTTACATGGCTCTCCTCCAGAGCACCAAGGTACTACACGCCATGGGCCGGCCCGAGCATAGTCGCTGCGACGGCACCAGGCGCGCCAAGAGGAGAGGAATCCGAATCCCCTCCACCCGCCCCCGTCACGCAGTCCCCAGTTGCCTCACCCTCGTACCAATTTCGGCAACTCCACGCTTCTCCTGTCCGGGGCAGGGTGGTCTCCCCTCTCGCCGATCCTTTGCGCGGGCATCAGGCAGACAGTTATGCCAATCCCTTCCCTGAGCTCCCCTTTTCCCGCCAGCGTGATAGTGTGAGGGCACACGGGACTGCTGCAGAAGACGTTGATCCCCTTGGCCAGAGGGGGGATTCTTCACACCCTTTTCCTCCGCTCATGGGTGCCCTAGGTGAAAGTGCGGAGCACGAGCATTTTGTTACACGGGAGGAGTTCCAGGCGCTGCGGTCTGAGATGTACGCCATGTTTGCACAGCTCGGCCTGCGTCGTGGAGTACATGCCAGCTATGCCGGCGGGTCGGCAGCCCTGCCTATGGCTGGTACCCCGCCGCCGATGAGCACCGTGGACAAGGCACGAGTGCTAGTGTTGCAGGAGACAAACCCATTCCCGGTATGTGGCGGGCCACATGGGGAGGGTTGGGGTTGACGTGGCAACAAGGGCGGGGTTGGGGCTGACGTGGCGGTTTCGAAGGGAACACAGGAGCGGCGCATGACGAGGCGACGCGTATCAGGTGGGTGGGGGGTGACGTGGCATGGGGTGGGTGGGTGTGACGTGGCAAGTGGCGCGGGTTGTTGGTGGACGTGGCGGATGCGGGTTGGGTGTGACGTGGCAAAAGGTGAGGGTTGGGATATGACGTGGCGGTGTGAAAGGGTGCAAGGGAGTGCCGCATGACGGCGCGAGGCGTTTCAGGTGGGTGGGGGGTGACGAGGCTCTTGGAGGGGGGTGTGACGTGGCAAGTAGGGCGGGTTGTTGGCGGATGCTGGGGGGTGTGACGTGGCAGAATGTGAGGGTTGGGGCTGACGTGGCAGTATGGAATGGTACACGGGAGTGGCGCGTGACGAGGCGACGCGTGTCAGGTGGGTGGGGGGTGACGTGGCATGGGGTGGGAGGGTGTGACGTGGCACGTGGGGCTGGTTGTTGGTGGACGTGGCGGATGCAGGAGGGTGTGACGTGGCACCTGGGGCTGGTTGGTGGACGTGGCGGACAAGGAGGGTGTGACGTGGCACTTGGGGCTGGTTGGTGGACGTGGCGGATGCAGAAGGGTGTGACGTGGCGGAAGGTGAGGGTGGGGGATGACGTGACAGATGCAGATGGGTGTGACGTGGCGGAAGGTGAGGGTTGGGGATGACGTGGCACCCTAAAAGGGTACACGTGAGCGGCGCATGACGAAGCGAGGCGTCTCAGGTGGGTGGGGGGTGACGTGGCTCTTGGTGGGGGGTGTGACGTGGCAAGTAGGGCGGGTTGTTGGCGGATGCTGGGGGGTGTGACGTGGCAGAATGTGAGGGTTGGGGCTGACGTGGCAGTTTGGAATGGTACACGAGAGCGGCGCGTGACGAGGCGACGCGTGTCAGGTGGGTGGGGGGTGACGTGGCATGGGGTGGGAGGGTGTGACGTGGCACGTGGGGCTGGTTGTTGGTGGACGTGGCGGATGCAGGAGGGTGTGACGTGGCACGTGGGGCTGGTTGGTGGATGTGGCGGACAAGGAGGGTGTGACGTGGCACTTGGGGCTGGTTGGTGGACGTGGCGGATGCAGAAGGGTGTGACGTGGCGGAAGGTGAGGGTGGGGGATGACGTGACAGATGCAGATGGGTGTGACGTGGCGGAAGGTGAGGGTTGGGGATGACGTGGCACCCTAAAAGGGTACACGTGAGCGGCGCATGACGAAGCGAGGCGTCTCAGGTGGGTGGGGGGTGACGTGGCTCTTGGTGGGGGGTGTGACGTGGCAAGTAGGGCGGGTTGTTGGCGGATGCTGGGGGGGTGTGACGTGGCAGAATGTGAGGGTTGGGGCTGACGTGGCAGTTTGGAATGGTACACGGGAGCGGCGCGTGACGAGGCGACGCGTGTCAGGTGGGTGGGGGGTGACGTGGCATGGGGTGGGAGGGTGTGACGTGGCACGTGGGGCTGGTTGTTGGTGGACGTGGCGGATGCAGGAGGGTGTGCCGTGGCACGTGGGGCTGGTTGGTGGACGTGGCGGACAAGGAGGGTGTGACGTGGCGGAACGTGAGGGTTGGGGATGACGTGGCGGATGCAGGTGGGTGTGACGTGGCGGAAGGTGAGGGTTGGGGATGACGTGGCGGTTAGAAATGGTACACGTGACCACTGCGCATGACGAAGCGAGGCGTGTCAGGTGGGTGGGGGGTGACGTGGCTTGTGGTAGGGGGGTGTGACGTGGCAAGTGGGCCGGGTTGTTGGTGGACGTGTCTGATGGCGCAGGGTGTGACGTGGCAATTTCAAACAGTGTTGCTAGTCACCATCCCATGGTCACGCGGCCACCCTCATAACTGCTGGTTTCTCTCTTCCATGTCGTGTTGTATACTTTACACCCCTGCGCAGAACAAAGCCTACTTAGTGTGCTCTCAGCTCATGTTTCTGAACCCGCCGGAGAAAATACAGTACTACCCTGCACCGGAGGAAGTGTTTGAAGCGTTCTCTGTCCACTTGTCTGCAGAAGGGCTCGAGGCAATGAAGCTGCTGTGGTTGCACAATGACAAGTCAACCATGGGAGTCTTCAACCACCAGCTGTCCTCAACAAGGTCAACTATCAACTCCATCCTCAGGCCATCAGCATACACCGGCATGGGCCTTGCCGATTACAGCCATCTTGTGGATAGCCTGCCCACTGAGCTACACCCAACGACCTGGTTCGACGACGATCAACTCCTAGCCGAGTACAGAGATGGTATGTGCAGTGCAACTCGAAAACACAATATGCCCTACCATATGCCCCTTGGCAGCTACATATCACCATGCGATGTGGCTCACCCTGACTCTCATCCCCCCATTTGATTTCTCTACAAAACCCTTTCCAACCCATACCCTCCCTGCCAAAAAGCAGAACAGTGGGCCCTCAATTGGCACTTTGACAAGGCCACCGGGACACCCTTCAGCAACCCCTTGTTCGCTTATGCGTTCAAACTCTCCTTGAAGAGGGGCGGGGCGGTGTTCACCAAGTTCAAGAGCCGCATGGTGGCATGGGGCCTGTTTTCGGTAAGGATGTAGATATGTGTTTGTACCCCCATGCCTCATCCCCTTAACCCCTTGCCTGTACTTCAGCTAAAACCCTGGTCGATTAGGCCTTTGCAGTTACGTAGATAGTGACGACTGCATCACCGCTTTCAGTTGCCTCATTTACCCATAACCTACCCTCCTCATAAACCATCCACCCAACCTTACACCACATTGCAGATCGAATGGCCCCTTCTGCAGGATAAGCGTCGCAAGCGAATCAGTAGCCAGCCGGAGCAGAACAGGCCAGACTACCAGGAGTGGAGCGAAAAGGTCAAACAGATGATCCATTTTGCTGTCGTGGAGCGGAGGATCCCCCACGATCCGGCTATGGGTGTGTTCGTCTTTCCGAACAAGTTCCCCATCGACGACGGCGACCTTGGAGATGTCGTCCTTGCCCACCGGGCGCTTTCAAGGCCCGCCAGTGCGTAGGCTATTTGACCTGGTGCTAAGACTGCTTGTTGCTAGAATGCAGAATAATGGTTCTTGTAAACCGCAATAATAAATGCAATTTTGAAATCCTCAATATCCAAAATGAACAAAAACAGAATTTAGTTCTGAATAATTTGGTCACGAATTTGCAACAAAACGGATTGTGCCCGAATGTCATCCGGAAAAGCTCGCGTGCCAAATTGGAACTTGAACCGAGCCAAACCTTGTCGCAAGATGTGTCTCGGAGCTCCTATCAAATGACTCCAACCGTCGGTCCAAATTGGCTCCAGATTTTTTTACGCGAAGACAATCGAAATCAAAATTCGTCCAAACTTGGCCTAGGGTTTTTGTGATGCATAACCCCTGTCAGATTATTATAGCTGATGCATGTTTGTAGGCTATAGTGGGGAAGCACATATGGGGTACAGCTTTCTAGGGTTGTATTTGTACCCAACTCTGACTTAGTCATTTTCATTCCTGTTCATTCTTTTCACATGGTATAGAGCGGGTCCCTCCTAAGGACCGTTTTTTTTAAGGGCCCACCCACGATTTTTTTCCTGCCCGGAGCGCGCCCTATTCTCCCCGAGGCGCGCTCCCCCCCTAGTGCTTGTCGCGCTGCCCTTGTGGCGCCCCGAGAGTCGCGCGCGCGACTCCTTTTTTTTTCGCGCGCGCGGCCCGGGCCCCACGTCGCGCTGGCCTTACGGCCGCGCCGCGCCGCCCTCTCGGCTCTGCCGCGCCGCGCCGCCCTCACGCCGGCCGCGCGGCCTCTTTGTCGCTGCAGCGGGCCCCGTCACCTGACTGCCCCGCCGTCCTACTCCCGGCCCCGCCGCTGCACCCTGCCGGCCCCGCCGCTGCACCTCTGTCGGCCCCGCCGCTGCACCCTAACGGCCCCGCCGTCCCCTGTCACGGCCCCGCCGTCCCCTGCCACGGCCCCGCCGCTGCACCCTGACGGCCCCGCCACTGCACCAGTCGGCCCCGCCGCTGCACCCTGACGGCCCCGCCGTCCCCTGTCCCGGCCCCGCCGCTGCACGCTGCCGGTCCCGGAGCTGCTGGACCTGCGGGTCCTCCTGGAGCCGGAGCTGCTGTGGGCGTTGGTGCTGAGCCTACTGCTGTTGGTCCTGCCGCTGGAGGTGTGGGTGGCGCTGGTGCTGTCGCTGTGGGTGCTGGTGCAGTCCCTGCTGAGTCTGGAGCTGCCGCGCGGCCTCGGCCGTACTTCGTTCCGCTCCTGCAGCAGGTTCTTGGTCTTTCTCCTCCGGTAGAGGGTCCACCGCCTGTCCAGTCGCAGTCCCTACTGGAGCCTTCCTCTCCACTGCCTGCTCCCTCTCCTTACACTGGTCCTACTGGAGGTCTTGCTGAGCGCCGTGAGCCTGCGTCTGGTCCCGCGTCGCCTGTTCGTGCTGCTCGCGCTAGTGGTCGCAGTTCGCGTCAGCGTCCTCCTCCTGTCCCTGGCACGCACCGGATGTCTCTGCGTCCGTCCACTGCTCCTCTGCGTGCCCCTTTGCCTTCTCCTCCTGAGTCCTCTCTTCCTGCGCTTGCCGACCCTGAGTCGGACTCTCTTCGTGCTGCCAGTCCTACTGTCACGCGTCTGCTTGCTACTGTCGTCACTGACCCCTCTTTTGAGTCCACTGCTGCGTCTGCTCTAGTCGCTGAGCTCGTCGACTTTGCTGCTCGCTGTCGTCTCGACTACGCTGCTAGTCTTGTTGCTGAGTCTGCGTCTGTCTGTCCTCCGTCCGTCGGGGGTGAGTGTGCTCTTGGCACGGACGTCCTTGAGGACAGGCAGGAGGAGTTACAGTGTCTAGCGGCTGCTTCACCTCATCTCGCGTCTGTACTGCTTGCCCCTGAGGGAGACCCGGATGCACTAGACATCCCGACTCCGCGTTCTTACGCAGAGGCCGTAGAGGGTCCCTACTCCTCTCAGTGGCAGGCAGCTATGGATGCAAAGATGGCTTCCTGGAAGTCCACAGGCACCTACGTTGACGCGGTTCCCC